CTTGTTCTCTAACAAGCACCCACATATATGTACTTGCGTCCCACGCTAATGTTGATGAAATGCAACATTCTTGTCCAAACAAGCATACATACTATGTGCAATTCTTTTATAGATTTCTCGATATCCCATCTCGAAACATCCATCGAATTGGAACTTTATTTAAGATCACGGCTTTCAAGATATGTTCCATGATTACCATCTCTATGCGCAACCATATCTTATAACCATAAGTGATCTAGGGATTTTATCTTAAGTGCAATTATAGGATAAATGCTTACTCTTAAGATAAAGAAATGCCTTATTAACAATATAATTCCAATAGATCGTATTTACAAGTAGAATACGTCCAATCAAATTGGAACTCTGGGTATACTACTCTAACAAAATTGTGGCTATTTGTGTAAGTAATACATTATGCAAGAACGAGCAACTGAAATGGGTAAGTAACAAAATGACGGCATTGCATTCATCCATCGTGCTAGCTAATGGTAGGTAGCATCGAAAGACTAAATAATTTCACGATTACATGCCCAAATAGAAAGGTTCACAAAAGAGACTAAATAAGTTCATGACCAAATAGAAAAGTTCACAAAAGACTGGATGGGTTCATGACTACATGACCAAAGAAATCGCACGCGAGTCGATGGAGGTGACCCCGAGCCTTGCTACTAGGGAACCATCTCCATCTCGGCTCCAGCAGCAATGATGACAGCCCCTAGGGCCAGCTCCCACCAAGGATGGGTCAATGAGAGAGATGGGTCGTCGTTCCACCCTGCGGGGTTAGGAAGGCCTTTCCTTAGATTGCCTTCATCCGCGGAGAAGGCTTTGAAGCCCTGGGCATGTGCCTCGGCTTGGGTCCGCTCGACCCCTGCTCAGAAATACTGGAGGCAGTCCTTGACAACCCGCTGGAGAAACACCTTGGAGTCGTGGTAGCGTGTCAATAGCTCATCTCGGTAGCACTTGAGGAAACGGGTCCCGAACTCCGAGTCGAGGTATGTATCTCGGGCCTCCTGTTTGACCTGTACAATGCGCTCGTCAAAGGATCATCGAAGAGCCTCTAGCTCGCCCTGGAGCCTTTCCTTAGCTTGCCTTCTCCTTGGCAAGATCTTGGTCGAAGGTGTCGGGGGCAGGTGGACGGATGAAGAAAAATTTATTTTTCCACCCGTGAATTTTCGGCTGGGGCAGCTCTAAGAAGCGGGTGTGCTTGCGACGCATGAGATAAGGCACGCTGTTTAACTTACTGAGACATATGCAATAGAAGCATAACTTGGGGTCGAGTCGGCCAAGTCGGGCCCGACATACCATCGTGAAGGCGATGAGCAAACGAATGGAGTTAGGAGGTAATTTGTTCAAAGACATTTTATATAATCCGTTAAGTTGGAGCAAGTCGGGATGAACGGGGAACCTCAGCCCGGCGTTTACTTGGTCTAGGAAGAAAGTGAAATAGTCGGGTGGGGGGCTATCGTACGTGTCTGTGGGTTTTGGAAGTTTAAGTTTCCAACCTCGGGGTAACTCCATTTTCCTAACAAGTGTGGCTACTTGGGTGTCCGAATACAAGCATGTGGGATGAGGTAGGTAGGCATGTGATGGATGATGGGGTACCTAGTTACATGTGCTAGGTGCATGAATAACATATTCATCAAAAAACAAAAAAAACAAATTCAAAATTTAAGAAAAGATGAGAAAGACAAAAAGGAGAGAAACACCATGGGTGAGTTCGGTTGTGGTTGGTCCTCGGTACAC